GAAAAATATATATATATATATATATTTTTTTAAAGGTGGGGCTCAGGGGTGGCCCCACCCACAATGGGTTGAGTCCTCCACATTAATAAAGGAAATGCTTCACAAAGTTGCCCACAGGGCAATGCTATTGAGGCAGTTTCTCAGTTACAGTTCTTCCTTCCTGGGGCTGGGGAGATGGCTGCTCTTCCCAAAGGACCAGGGTTCAATTCCTGGCAACTACGGTTCCAGGTTCTCTCTCTCTCTCTCCTCTCTCTCTCTCTCTCTCTCTCTCTCTCTCTCTCTCTCTCTCTCACACACACACACACACACACACACACACACCAGATGTAGGCAAAACACCAATGTATATAACAAATAAAAGATTACTTCCTCCCAAAGGTCCCTCGCTTGTGTAAACAGAACTAGCCAGCGCATGGAGGAAGGCACTTGCTACTAATCCTGCTTACCTGAGGTTGAACCCAGAATCTTTTTTTTTTTTAACTTTTTTTTGTTTTTTGTTTTTTTTTTTGAGACGGGGTTTTCACTGTGTGGTCCTGGCTCTCCTGGACCTCTATAGACCAGACTGGCCTCAAACTCAGAACCACCTGCCTCTGCTTCCTGAGTGCAGGGATGAAAAGACTTGGACCACCACCATGCAATGAGGTCCATGCCAGTGCTTTTCTTTTTCTTTTTTTTTCCCCGAGGCAGGGATTCTCTGTGTAGCTTTGTAGACCAGGCTGGTCTTGAACTCACAGAGATCTGTCTGCCTCTGCCTCCAGAGTGCTGGGATTAAAGGCGTGTGCCGCCACGACCGCCAGGCTACCAGTGCCTTCCTAAAAGACTCCAAACTGTAAAACTTCTACGGCACTCTCTGCAGAAAAAGTGGTGGCATCGCAAGTGCTTCAACATACAGTCCGAATTAAGGGACCTCGGAGACACCAAGTGCCTGGTAGAAATCTCATTGGCTTTGGCTCAGGCTATGTACTCCAGAGCACAATTACTTAGCAAGGAACTGGATGGCTTGATCGCCCCCTGGTGGCCAGTACTGGGATTGCGCCAGAAGAACTTAGGGATTGGGAAAGTCACATGCTCTTGGTCTGGGGGCTACTTCTCAGTGGGGTTCAACCTGTGGGGGGAAACAAAAGCCAGCTGGGCTTTTTGGAGCCCATTCCATCTGATGGGATGCCTTGCTCAGCCACGATGCAGGGAGGAGGGGCTTGGTCCCGTCTCAACTGAACTTCCCAGTCTGTGTGACTCCTGATGGGAGGCCTTACCCTTTCAGAGTAGATGGCGGGCGGGTTTGGGGAAGGGGGAAAGAGGGAGGAGGAGCTGTGGATGGTATGTAAAATGAATAATAAGAAAAAAAGAAAATCCAGCTGCCCGCAGGACATTTGTTCGCTTATGCAAAGTACAACTCAAAAGCAGTTTGTTTATTAAATGTTTTGTGCATGCGCAGAATCCCAGAATTCCTCTCTTTCCACCACTTGGATATCGGTGATCTAGGGGTTTTGTTGTTGTTGTACTTGTTAACTAGTTATCAAACAATGCAATGGGTTTATCACAGCATTGAGTAGGGGTTACCAGGGTTAGCACCCAGCTTCTCTACCCTCTAAGGATACCCCAGTTCCTCACTAGATTACTCCATCTTAGATAGACAGTAGTAGCTGTCTATTTTATTCTTCAGAAGTCTGTTTTCAGAAGAAAACTATTTTTCTTTCTATTTGTAAAATTACATGTACATGTCTGGCCCGTGTCTGCCCCACATGCATGCAGTAGCCTCTGGGAGCCACAAGTGGCTGTGGAGTGCCCTGGCCTTGTGGAGCCTCTGGAAGAGCAGCCAGTGCTCTTAACTGCAGAGACATTTCCCCAGCTCCCACATTCCTTCTCTCTAAGCTAATTGACTCCATGCAACTCAAACTGTACCAGCAGCTTTCTCCTAGATCTCAGTCCAGGCTTTTAAGGCCCTGTTGGACTTCATGGAGTGAACCCCATGCAAAACCCGTGGTTCAACTGGGTTCAGCTAGAATTTAGTGAACACGGTTGGGGTTGGGGTGTCCCCCTGCCCCGCTTTCTTCTGTCATCCCACCTCTCCCCCTCCCTTCTCAGCTGGTCTCGAATCTGAAGGAATCCTCTTGCTTCAGACTCTGGAATTCTGGGATGACAGGTGTGTATTGCCAGGCCTGGCTTGGATCTCCACTGGCATTTGGCAGTCACTCTTGGCGAGGCCTGACTCTGTCCCAAGCTAAAAGCAGCATATGGGAAACTCCCCAGTTGTTTTGCATTTTCCAAACTTCCCGAGTGTGCTCTTTCTGTTCACTTTAGGTTTGTCTCTATTGTATGTGTCCCCGTGTGAGAGCCAGAGGACAATGCTGGGTGTCTTCTTGAACGCCTGTCTACACTACTTGTTAAGAGGTCTCTCGCTGAACCTAGGACAGGATGGTGTGGCTGGCCAGCAAGCCCCGGGGATCTAAATTCAAGTCCTCAGGCCTCTGCACTCTGAACCATCTTCCTAGCTCCAGCCACTCTTCTCTATCCAGTCTGTCTTTGCTTTGTTTCTGGGAGTGCTGGAATTCAAATCCTGTTTTCAGACTTTCAATGGTGGTGGCATTCTGCCCTCTAGTGGTTACAAGTGGACAGATTTACTAGTAGGCCAAGATGCCCTCCGAATTTTTGGGAGGTTGGTTGACAGCATCTATCACAATAATACACAAAGCAGTGAATTATGCACACAGAAAAGATCTGGGTGTCTGGATGCACGCTGGTAACGTGAGATGTTGGCAGTGAAAGGCAGGAGGATCAAGATTACAGGCACATACCACCATGCCAGGAATACATTTTATCTTTAAATATTGGCAACAGACTTCCAGGATGTGAAATTATAAAGCCACATACTAAAAAACATCTTTTACCACATTCATCACTGCACAGCCAAGGTCTTTGTTTTTTCCAGACAAGGTTTCTTTGTGTGGCCTTGGTTGTCCTTGAGCTAGCTCTGTAGACCAGGCATGCCTCTCAAGTGCTGAGATTAAAGGCATGAGCCAGTCTTATGTAGCACAGGCTAGGCTAAAATTTGGAGCAATCCTCCTGCTTCAGCGCCACCCCCCCAGTGTTGGGGTGAAAGCATGGGCCGACACACTTTCCTTGGGATGAGATACTTGGGGCTGCACATGGCTCAATGGTTAAGAGCACTCGCAGGTCCCAGCATCGAAACCAAACTGTTTAAAACTGCCAGTAACTTCAGCCCAGGGGGTCCTACAGGTCACTAGGCTTGTGTAGGCTTTGAACGCACACACACAAACCCTCCCCACAGACACACATCACCAACTTTTGCTTTTTAATTAAAAGACAGGAACTCTTGAACACTCGCCTGTGTGTGCCCTTCCCAATAAAAAATGGAAAGGAAGAAGGAAGCCTTAAGTTTTGTGTGGATCTGGAGGTACTCTGTATCACTTTTGAACAAGTTTAGGGGCTAGGGGAGGTGTAGGTAAGCTGGAAATACTCAGGGGACTTGGGGTTCTTTTTTTTTTGGTTTTCCAAGACAGGGTTTCAGTGTGTAGTTCCAGCTGTCCTGGAACTCTCTCTGGAGACCAGGCTGGCCTTGAATCAGAGATCCATCTGCCTCTGCCTCCCAAGTGCTAGAATTAAAGGCCTGTGCCGCCATCACCACCACCCATCTGGAAGTTGGGATTCTTGAGAGATGTTCTCTGGGGAAGGAGGTGAGGGCAGGACTGTATGTGCCAGTGTGCTGGGTCTGCAAGGGATCCCTAAGGGCACATGGTGGGCAGGTCCATGTCTAGGGGTCTCTTCAGGTAGCTGGCCTGGGGGGTGTGTTATGCCCTGAACCCCTGCACTTCCTGGGCAGAGTGCCCTCTCCCAGATCCTTACTGAGGCTGGAGGAAACTAGATTGCCAGGCTCCTGTCGCCAGGGTTCCTGCGTGGTAAAAAGTGACAGAGTCAGCTTCCAGGAGCCAAGGGCTCAGGCTGGGGTACCCTGTAATGCGATTACAACTCTTTCTGAAGCTCCTGCCCACAGGGAGGCTCCAGACACTCAGTCCACTCACAGGCAGGTTTATTAGGTTATGGCTCAGGCCTGCATCACTGGCCGGGACATTTCTGCCTGTAGCTTCACTCCTGAGCCCGCAAAACCTGTGCCACCCTAGAGAGGAAGGAAAAAAAGAGCAAGCTGGAGGAGCCTGATGGGCGGGGCCCCAGGAAACAGTAGTGGTTCTTATGTCCGGTAGGAAGACAGTAAGTCACAGGGCAGGGGACGGAGGGCCCGAGACACAGGAGAGACTGCACAGGTGGGGCTCTCTGACATAGCGGGAGGAGTCCCAGGATGGGAGACAGCACAGGAAAATGTGGTGGAGCAGGAGAAAGAAAACAGCAAGGGCTGCGGGGAACTAGGAGTGTGTGGAGGGGGGAGTCGTGTGGGGGTGGAGGGCCAGGTGCACTAGTGAGCAGGCTGCAGTGCAGGCTAGGGCAGGGGTGGGGAGGGCCAGGTGCACTAGTGAGCAGGCTGCAGTGCAGGCTAGGGCAGGGGTGGGGAGGGCCGGGTGCACTAGCGAGCAGGCTGCAGTGCAGGCTAGGGCAGGGGTGCTGGTAACTTACCCGCTGCAGCACAATGATGTCCCGCTCTGTCAATGTGTCCCCATTCACAGGGTCTACCATGTCCTTCCGGATCAGTTTCTCCACGCACTCCAGAGTGACCACAGCCCCCCTGCAGTGGAGACGGCACAGAGATCAGCCCTGTGGCATCTCGGGGTTCCTCCAGCCTCTTCTCCCCAACCCTACTCACGAAGGCCGCAGCACTGCACATGGTGTGGCATTGCTCAGGCTGTCTCGGGTCACTGCACACACATAGCGCTCACTGCGTGTGATGAGCCCCACGCGGTCCACGGAATCGTCCAGCTGCGTAAAGCGTACTGGCGTCAGGTCTGACATGCGTAGCGGTTTCCCAGACATCGGGCAGGTGACGGTGCGGGACTACGGGCAGAGGCAGGGTCAGCAGGGGAGAGGGAAGGCCAGGGTCACCACGCAAAGGGCATAAGGGGCAGGAGGCTGGGGCACTGGGACACTGGGAGCTCACTGGTTTTTCCAGCTTGGTGGCCTTTGCCTCAGGTGTCAGTGAGGGGATCCAGAAGCTGGGCAGCGCTTTGTCCTTGTCCTTGCCAGGTGGACCTGAACTGGGCCCTGGCTGCTCACCATCTATAGGAGGGAAAAGCTGGGGTATACAATTCAGGAAACCCTCCTGAAGACCCCTGGCCAAGGGCAGGCGGTTCCCTGTCACCTGTGTTGGGTAGAGGGGCAGCCTTAGGCATGAAGGGGTTGAGGGGCCGGCTCACGATGGCTGCCTCCTTCTCCAGGAAGCCTCGAACTTGGTCCTGTGCTGCAGCTCTTTGAAGCTGTTTCTGCTCTTCCCTCCGGGCTCCTCTCTGCTTCTCATAGGCCTGGGGGAAGAGGTGCCTGGCTCAGCATCCACCAGTGGGTGGATGGCGCTGAGCTGCGCTGGCCACATTGGATGCTTTTGTGTGTACTGTCTAAGGTGGCCCTGGCATTTCTGCATCCTTGGTTTCTTACCCACATTGTGGGGCTCACAGTCCTCCTAATGAGAGGGCCTACTCAAGGTGAGACAGGGGTTCATGTAGCCCAGGCTAGCCCGGAATTAAGGGTGACCTTGAACTCCTGATCTTCCACCAATCAAGTCATATATGTAGCACATCAGGTCATGCCTGTTGGGGGTGGGGCCTAGGGCTTCATGCACACTAAGCAAGCACTCTACAAACAGTCACAACGCCAGTCACACGGAAATGTTTCTAAAGTGCTTAGAATCTGATAGGCACACACGGAGCGCTCAAAGCAGGCCACATGGAAGTCCGTAAGCAGAACAGTATGCTTCGCCCTGTGTGACCAGAACAGGTGAGGTGTCAACAGTAACCATGAAGGCCTCCAGCAGGGGCACCATGACGAAGGAGAGCCTGGCCAGCCACTGGGCATGGGGAGGACATGGAGGCTGGGGAGTGGGTGCTGAGCACACTGAGGCCAGAAGTGGCAAGCAGGGTAGCACGGCAAACGCTTGGTCTGTGAGGCCCTGGGTTCCATCCCTAGCCCTAAACAAAACCAAAACAACCCCTCAGTGTGTCCTGAGTACCAGAGAGCCAGGCTGTGAAGGAAGGGGGCAGACAGTGAGAAATAAAGGACACCTCCTAGATACCCAGGACACCTGCCCCTGGAGGGACAGGGCTGGGAGACAGTAAGCACCTAGAAAAGTCTTATCTGTGTCTCTCACTTGCTCTGTGGTGCCCTCTGATGTCACGAGAAGGCTGAGGCCCATGGAAGGTGTCCATTACAACACAGGCCTCTGCCAAGTGCCTGGCACTAGGAGAGCAGAGGAAGGTGCCCCTGCAGGCTGTGGTCCACGACAAACACAGTAGAGGCTGTGGGGGGGACATGGGGGTCATCACAGGGTCCTAGAGCAGGATGAGCAGGGTGGACCCCAGGGGCCAGCATCATTGAAGGCCTCTGGACTAGAAAGGGTTGCACTGAGCTCTTCCCTTCTCCTCAGCTCCCATCACCTTCATCTGCCGGGCAATCTCTTTCTTCTGGTGCAGGATGTACTCCAGGATGGCCTCCCGTTCATACAGGTAGCCGTCTGGGCTGCAGAGAGGGGATGAGGGAAGCGTGGGCCAGAGCTTCATCGCATCCACCCACTTGTCTGTCCCCACCCTGGGTGCCACCAAACACCTTAGGAGACATCTTCCACAGTATTCACTTCAGCCCATTTCTTTTCATTTCATTTTGGGACATGGTGTTCTGCAGCTCAGGTTAGCTTCAGATTGCTCTGTAGCTGAGGTTTGCCCTGAAATCCTGACCCTCCCTCCTGTCTGCACTGTCTGAGCGCTGGGTAACAGGTGTGCATCACACTTGGTTCTCTGTGGTGCTGGGAATGAACCCAGAGCGTGCTGCAGGCTAGCCTAGCCCCAGCTGTTAACCACGCACTCTCTCCACCTATGGTGGAGAAGTGGCTGCCTGTCTCTGGAGAGCTGCACTCTGAAAGGTTGAGTGACTGCTAAACCCACACACACCAGCTGCCCTGCTGCCCCATCCCCACTCACGTCACCACAGGGTCATGACAGGGCTGCAGTGAGAGACAGCAGCAGTCAAAGTCCTTCACAGCATCCCGGCTCAGTCGAATGTTCTGGGTGCCATACCCTGAGGCAGCTGGGGACAGAGAAAGGTGGTGATGGGTGGGGACATGCCTTTTACCAAATGCCCAAGGAAATGTGGGGGTTGAGTGGAACCTGAGAAAGACATGGCTAGGTCGGCCTTATTCCCCCACAGCAGGGTGAAAAGGCTCATGGCTGGTTCCCATCTCCTGGGTTGGGAACCACTGTGGCTCTCAGTGGCCCTTTCTGCAAAGGTGGTATCTGGGAATGGCTGGGAGGAGAGGGAACTAAGATAGGATGAGGCGCAAGGGCCACCCTGCCTATGGTCACCCTCCTTAGTACACAGGGGCAACGACAGACCGGCCATTCACAGCAGAGTATGGAAACAGCCAGGAACCACACAGGGGGAGACCAGAGGGGAGAGTGAGGTCCCCAAGATGGTACCTGTGTCTTTCTTCTTTTCGTGGTAGGTATAGACAGCTCCTGCAGTGCAGTTCTTACCATGCCGTGTCATCCTGTAGAAGAAAGGGGCAGTGGCAGGGCTGGGGTGACCCCAGGACACTGGAAAGGAGAATGGGGACAACAGTAGCCGGGTACAACAGTAGCCGGCCCCAGAAGCCTGTTCAACCAGCCTAAGTCACAGCCTTCACCCACAGCAGCGTACATGTGTCTGATGCAGGGAGGAGGGAAAACCAGGCAGTACCAGGCCACTTCCTTTTATTTTTGAGACAGAATCTCACTGTACATCGGGCTGGCTTCAAACTCCATCTGCCTTTGCTTCCTGAGTGCTAGGATTAAAGGCGAGCACTGAGAAGCCCTATCTTAAAAAACAAAACAGAAAACGATACACTTCTGATACAACTGAAACTTTGACTTTTTTTTGTTGGGGGGGGGTTGTTTGTTGTTGTTTTTTGGTTTTTCCAGACAGTGTTTCAATCTATTGACCAGGCTGGCCTCAAACTTACAGACATCCGCCTGTCTCTGCCTCCAAAGTGCTGGTATTAAAAGTGTGCACTACTGCCTGGCGTTGGTGGCGCACGCTTTTAATCCCAGCACTCGGGAGGCAGAGGTAGGTGGATCTCTGTGAGTTTGAGACCAGCCTGGTCTACAAGAGCTAGTTCCAGGACAGCCTCCAAAGCCACAGAGAAACCCTGCCTCAAAAACAAAACAAAACAAAACAAAAAAAAGTGTGCACTACCACAGACTGGCACAACTCTGACTTTAAAAAAATGCTTTATGTGTATATGTTTGCCTGTTCGTATGGAGACCAGAAGAGGGCAACAGATCCTCCGGAGCTGGAGTTACAGGTGGTTGTGAGCTGCAGTGTGGGTGCTGGGAATGAACCCAAGTATTCTCTAATAGCTGCAATCATTACTAACCACTGAGCCCTCTCTCCATCCTGGATATTTTAAAATAACATCATTCTACTATCTTTGGAAATGAAATATGGAAGGAGAGAGCCAATGCTACAAAGTTGTCTGACCCTACATGTGCGCTGTAGGGTGCAAACCTGCACACACCATTTCTGAAAACAGTCAATTCCTCTGTCAGCCCAGCAGGCATGTCCTCACTTTGTACTGTGGCTGGACAGTGGTGGCACACACCTTTAATATCAGCACTCAGGAGACAGGCTGGTCTACAGAACTAGATCCAGGACAGCCAGGGCTACACAGAGAAACACTGTCTCAGAAAAAAAAAAGCAAAAACAAAACAAAACCAATTTATTTTCTCCTCCTTTTCACTCTGTAGATCAGGCTGCCCTCAAACTCAGAGACCTGCCTGTCTATGCCTCCCGAGCACTGGGATTAAAGGCTTGAGCTACCATGTCTAGCTTTTTTTTTTTTTTGTGGTTTTTTGAGACAGGGTTTCTCTGTGGCTTTGGAGACTGACCTACTAGCTTTTGTAGATCAGGCTGGTCTCGAACTCACAGACATCCACCCGCTTCTGCCTCCTGAGTGCTGGGATTAAAGGCGTGCGCCACCACCGCCCGGCTCCATGTCTATCTTTTTAATAAATTTTTTAAAAGATAAAATCTTTTTATTAAAGATTTATTTTTAATGTATGTGAGTGATTTACCTATATATATGTCTGTGCACCACAGGTGTGCCTGATACCTCTGGAACTAGAGTTAACAAGTTTTTCCTCATACCTTCACCACAGGGTTTCCTGTGACTGTCACCAAGAAAGGCCCAGATGAGCCAGCCTCCAGCTGAGAAATGCTGTCCCTATAGAGACAGTCCAACCAATGAAAGACTACAGCTCCACATGGGCCTGCATGGTGGGTTCAAGACCAGCTGGGCTACAGCTTTGCCTGCATGTATGTTTGTGATGTGTGCCCCAGGAAGCCAGAAGGGGGGTGGTCAAACCCCAGCCATGTGGGAATTCCCCTGCCGGGAACTGACCTGGATTCTCTGAAAAGAACCAGCACTGAGCCGGCTCTTCAACCCTGTACTTGTTGCTTTTTCAGAGGACCTGGATTCAGTTCCCAGCACAAACATGGTTTCACAGCCATCTATAACTCTAATTCCATAGGATCCAATGACCTCTTCTGACCTCCAGAGACATCAAGCACACATATCCTTGCCAGCAAAACACTCATACCCATAACATAAATCTTTACCTAGTTTTTGGGCAGTCATGGCAACACAGTGAAACTGTCTCAAAACACACATGTGGCATGGAGTTGACTCAAGGAATAGAGGGCTGACCACAAAACTAACACTGAGTTCCAGTCCAGGGACCCATATGGTGGAAGGAGAGAACAGATTCTTTTTTTTCCTTTAGTTGTGGAGGGTTGAGACAGGGTTTCTCTGTGTAGCCTGGGCTGCCCTAGAACTTGCTGTGTAGACCAGGCTGACCTTGACAGCAAATATTCCCTGCTGCCTCCCGAGCGCTGCTATTAGAGGTGAGCGCCACCACCCCTGGCTGAGAACAGATTCATTAAAGTTGTCCTCTGACCACTTGGATATAACCTCATGACCTGGA